GTTGAAAAATTTCCAATCAGATCGATTCGGGTCGGTTTTCGGGTTGGAAAAAGAAACTTTCGGTTCAACCCAAATCATATTGATTTTTGTTAATATATATATATATATATATATTTTAGGTTTAGCCGTTTAGATCTGTGCACCGCCTCCTCAACAATTTCTTCTCCCTTTCTCAACACTCCCCTGCAGCCCCCTCATCCCTCCCTCATTCAAAATATGTTCTCTTAAATCTGTTCTCTGATTTCTCTCTTGTTCACACACTGTAATCCGAGCACTCAACCCGAACCGAACCGAAGTAATAAGGGTTGGGTTGGATTGAGTGATTCATTCAGTTTAGTCGGGTAAGTGCACCAATCAACCTGAAATTTCGGGTTGGTCCAAAAAACATCTCCAAACCGACTCAACCCAACCCGTGAACACCTCTACACTAGATATATAAGAAATCCTATTAAATCTTATAACATTTTTTACTAAGAATTAAATCGTGGCAAGCTTTAAACTACTTGAATTAAATGGTTACATATGAAAATTTAGAAAAAGTAGAATGCCTCGCTACTTTAATAAAAAAAAAACAAAAATAAAAAGTATTTTCAGACCAAAAAAATATTACATGGGCACTTCAATGAATCCCTCAATTCCTTTTAATTTTTTCCCTAATTTGACTTGATCTCTCTCCCTCTCATTCAATTTTTTTTCAACTCCCTCATTCTCTCTCCCTTTTTTTTCTCATCTTTCTTTTTTGTTCTCCATTCTAGTTCTCTCTTCTATAATTGACTTTTTCTTTTATAAAGTTTTCATCCTTCCACTCTCCCACTATTATTTCTTCTTATCTCTCTCCCTTTTTCCTCATTGTTTCTTCATGTTTTTCTTTCTCATTCTTTGGCTGCACCTCGATCTTTTTTATCAACGGTATCAATTCACACGTCGAACTTTTAACTTCCATAAAAAACCGACTAAAACATGTCGATTGAACTAGAAACGATAGATCGATTTGTACAGAGCTAAAAAAAGAAAAAAAAAACTTGACTGAACAACTTGCACTCCTAGTTTATGTATGTAGATAATGCAAGGGGTGTTGTTTGTTTGTTGCTTATTTTTTTGTTCAGTTAAAAAACTGTGTTTTGCCTCGTCATTTTACGACTGAGAAGAGGAATGCGTAGCATGAGAGAGAGATTTTTTAAATTAAAAAAATAGTTATCAATTTTTTAATAGTAATTAGTAAGTCAAAGGTATTTACCAATCAAAAAGTATATGTACCAACCGCTGTTTGATAAAAATTTTGACCAACTTCCATGAAGCTCGGACTCGGTGACCAACGAACAAAGGAACCTGCAAAAAGAGTTCGGTAAACAGTTTCAACACTCAAGTCAAGCTTCGCGATTCTATCTAAACTCAATGTGGAAATAATTTTGCATATGTGAAAAATGTGGCAAAACTCTCTATTCATAAAAATTGAGCTCCCAATAGCAATTGAGGAAATGGTTACGACGATCTAAAAAATATGGTGTCTTGTGTTGGAGAAACGTTTGTTGGTTTACAACAATCAACATACTAAACGTCGACTCGTCCCTTACGAGAACGAGCTATCGAGATCTTCATTAATCAGCTCAGCCTTTAGAAAATTTCGTCCGAGCTATTCGTTTCACCTCCAGGGATTTGGCCTTCTAACTACGTCATTAAGATAACTTGAAGTCTTCCAGCCTTTAAAATGTTGACCCATGGACAATATACAATCACTATCAACCACCATTACATTTTTTTACCACCAGAAGAAATCAACGCATGAATGAAAAGAGAGGAGAGATTTTTATTTTTCAAAAAAAAAAAAAGTTGCCAACTTTTGAACGATAGTCAGGTTAAAATTATATCAATACCTAAGTACTATTTAGCTAAAAATGTATAGGAAGAAAAATATCAATAAAATTTCCAATATTTCAACAAAATCAAACTTGAAATAATTTCATTTAATAAGGTAGGTTTAGGCAAAACGCAATCATTTAGATGCATATCGAAATTATTAGCTCTCCTCTAATATTACTCAATGGTGGATTGAATTGATGTGACGGAAAAGAAAAATGAAAATCGGCTAATAATATATTACCCAACGGCGATTATTTAAACTCAAAAGAAATGGTGATAAATAATTTCAAACTTTTAGTAGTATATTTATACTAATCCATACATTAAAGGCAAGTATTATTCTTCTATAAATGGAATGGTGACATCTCACATGAAAATAATTAATAAATTTAGGTCAACAATATGTTTTAGCAAATATAGGTCACGTTAACCATCGGAACATCAGAACTTTGGCGAGTTTTTTGGTTGAAAAGTTGAAGAGGGAGATCCTGGTTTTTTTAGATCATGGTGTTCTTTTTTTGTGTTTTTTCTTTTGTTTGTTTGTTATTTTATTAGCATCTCTAGTACTGGAAAAAATAAAAAATAAAAATAAATAAACTTCATCTTCTTTTAGCTGACTGTTTGATTTACACGTGTTGAGTTCTGTGTCCAGCCCAGGCCCAGGCCCATATTGGTCTTCCGTTATTGTGGGCTTTTCGATGTCAACAAGCCCAGTTCCTTACTATCCCAACTCACAGTTGCAACGGTCGTAATTTTGAGGGTATAAGGGTGCTTACGGGTTGGGTTGGATCGGAGTTTAAGATATTTTTTGGACCAATCTGAATTTTTGGATTGGTCATATTTGAAAATCGATGGACCCAAATTAATGGTCAACCCAATCCAACCCAAAATTTTTTAGTTGTGTCGGATTGGGTTCACAGGTCGAAAAAAAAAATATATATATATATATTTTTTACCTGACTAAAGAAAAAATATCCAAAGGATTTGAAATAGTACTTCAACAGATCTGCAGCTATACTCAAGGCAAGGATCTGCTAAGGCTTTGTGGATCGACTCATAGTGGACGAACCTTCTTTACCAATTACAGTGACGGATCGGCACACCCGCTTCACTACTTTACCGGTTACTACGGCTGCAATTGAGGAGGGAGAGTCGATTTGAGAGAGAAGAAAATGGAGGAGAAAAGAAGAGGCTTGACTTGCTTGAGATTAGAATGGGGAAGAAAGAGATGATAAAAAGTTAAGTTGGAAACCCTAAAATGGAATCAACAGTTAGGATTAAAATAGAATGAAGGGTTGAATCCCTAGCTTTTATATATATATATATATTTCGGTGGGGTCGCTCGTGACCCGAACTGATCCGATCAGGTTGGAATTTTTCCAATCAAACCCAAATAGAGTTTTCATCTAATCCAACCCAACCCTGTTGTCGGTTTTTTGAATACTCTTATTATTTAGTCACTTTTTTGGATTTGTCCACCGCTCTATTTCAAAGCACTCTATTGAAAGAAAAAAAAACGGGTCTTTTATTTATTATTATTATTTTTTGAGATAGTAAAACTTTTTTAATTTAAAATTTACCACGATTACATTTTCATTTACAACATAATTTGGTATCACAAATTTATACCGGAAAGATTTGAATCTCTAATCTTTAAAGAGGTAAATAATGCATTGACCTATTAAAATAATCCTAGATCAAACTACAATTAATATTAGAAAGTTCATGTCTAATGTAACTAGTTAAATTATGGGTGCACGTTGGTCGATTGACGTCGATTTGGACTCAAACCAAAATGTTGATTTTAATCCTTTGAAGTTTTGGCAGTTTGAAAAGCTCTACAATATTGACCAATCGACTACACTGATGGTCCAACAATATTTTCATTTATACTACTAATAATTTTTTTGTAATAATATTTTTTTAAATATAATTTATTATTATTAAATATTAGAATAATAAATTTTAATAATATTTTATATATTAAATAATATTTATTCTAATAAAAAATATTTTAGTTGATGTAATTTTATTTTAATTTATTCGTTATTCATTAATATTAAATAAATTGTTATAATAAAAAAATATTTACTATCAATTATATAATAATAAATAAATATTTATTTTAACTTAAAAGGATTAGCACAATAATAATGTATTTGTAATTAACAGAAAAAAAATACAATATACTAATAATTGTTATATATTTTATTTCAATTTTAATTCGAGACACTAAACATGATCAAAGAAATTGTAATTTTGATTCTACATCATTTCTAGTAAACAATATCAAAGGAATCATATTCTCATCTTCCAAATTATTTTTATTTTGATTGATTTTCATTTTGGTTCATTTCCATTCCATATCTTCGCAAATAAACATGACCGTACTAATGAATTATTCTCAGGCTAAGAGCCAATAAGCATTAATTATTTCTTACAAAAAAAAAACATGAAGTATCATTCTTTATAAAACGTACCTAACATGTACACATTTATTAAGGGTCATTAATTAGTTTTCTTTTTCAGTTAGGTCCTTTAATTAAAAGCTTGTATTAAATCACCTCCTATTGTAGTTAGTAGAATATTCTAGGATTATTTTCAAAAATAAAAATCATACAATGTTTTCAAAAAAGTTACAAATAGTACAACAAATATGAGATGCGAGATTGAACTTATAATTTAATAAAGTAATGAATACATTTTAATCATTGAGTTATGTTCGAATTGTATTACTATTAATATCTTAACCTATAATGAATTAGCTTCGCTTTTTTTTTTACTTTAATTTATTCCATATTTATAAGGGTAATTATCAGTCCCATTGGACTTTCTGCCTCTTAGTGCTGAGCTTATATTTTTAGAGGTATATTTTGGTAATTAATTACTTTTAACAAATTATTTTTTCTCTCAAGTTTTTGTAAGAGTAATATTTATGTGTTAAAATTCCAACCAATTAAATCATACCAACATGAGTATAATTCATACTCCTTTCTCAGAATCCTCCAAACAAATCAGGACTCGTACTTAAATAGTAATTTAAAATTAACCATAATGCTAAAAATAATTTTCAACATGTATATATACACACACACAAACTTTTACTTTCATTTTCATCTCCAAATAAACGACAATAATGAATAATTAAATAGTACACAAATATGATTACACAGAAATTAAAGAAACCCATTAAACCCTTACCTTACTCTAGTATCACTTATTACTTTCTTTTTAATGAAAATATTAGCTTGTTATACAAATGGAAATTTAATTTAAAAATATTTTTAAAAAATTATATAATTTTTTTTGTAGAGAGAGAAATTAGACCCTAAACCCTAGATTTGATGATAGCTCTCAGAGGATTCTTCATGACGACGGTGAACTCCATGTTCCAGGAGAAGTCAACGGAGCTTGACGGCGGATACGGCGTCCATTCAAATTCCTGCACCATTCTGGCAAGCATTAGATGGACGTGGACGGTGGCCATTCCCATTCCTGGGCAAATCCGCCGCCCTACGCCGAACGGCATCATTCTCACTCCGGTGACGCCGGTTATGTCGGCTTCTTCCTCGCCGGAGAAAAATCTCTCCGGTTCGAAATTCTCTGGATTCTTCCACAGCTTCGGATCCGCTCCGATGGCCGGTAAGAAGATCTCCACGTTCGCGTCTTTCGGGATATCGTAACCTGAAAATAAAACATTAAATTTTTACTATATCTTGCGTACTTATTTGAGATATATTTAAATTTTTAGCCATTTTTATGAAATAAAATACTTCTTTTTATTGTTCAAAATATTGAAGTATTTTTAAAAGGCAAAGATTAAAATAGAAAAATTGCTTGAAAATAGCTTAATTATATTATAAAAAAAAACTGTAGAAAAATATAGTTACTTAAAGAAAAATAAGTTTTAAAATTAAATGCTAGTTTAATTAACCTATCCAGAATTATGTTTCAACCTGAGGGCAAAAGCTAAAAGACAAAAGTTAACATTTTAACTTTTTAAATATAAAATATTTTAGTAAGGAGGAATTTCTTTACCACTTTTAAATATTTTATAACTCATTAATTTTTTAAAATATCTTTTGTTTTTATTAATTGTTAGATATTTAATGGTGATAAGAACAAGATTCCTCGAAGAGTTCAAGTATTTTAGTGGTCTAAAGAGCCTATATCAATAAAAGTTTGGTAAATGTTAGTAAATTCAAAATCCACTCCCAACATGCTGTATTCAAAACAAAAATAATAATAAAAATTTGATAGAGAGAAAAAAAAACAAATTCTCTCACAGAAATTTAACAGTGGTTATTAAATTTGTTTAACGACCTGCGAGTATGGCCGGCTCCGTCACGGAGTGCGATAAAGCGAAGAAGGTGGGAGGATGTTTCCGCAGCACCTCTTTCACCACCGCCTTTAAATACGGCATTTTCTCCACGTCAGCTTCTTCCACTTTTCTCTCACCCACCGTCCTTTTAATTTCTTCTACAATCTTCCCCTGAACTTCCGGATTCGCGATCAATTGCGCGATTCCCCACTCGATCGCCGTCGCCGTCGTGTCCGTTCCGCCGTTCAGA